TTTCAGTTCAAGGCTATTATTCCATAAATGAAAGACAGTTGCAAATAACATGAAATACAATGTACTGGACATAAATGGAACCTTTATTATCAGATAACAATTAATATTGATGGTAAAGCAAATTAATCTTTCTTTTTAAGAAACCCACACGCTTTTTTATTTTATTGTTGATGATGCATTCAAATTGAAACTAACGATTACTTGGCTGATCTCATGTGAATATCATAATCAAATTATGTTCACATGAGATCAACCAAGGAATATAGGAGTATAGTATCTTTACCTTTTTCTTAACTTGCGCAGCCTGAAATTCCTCTGTGTTGTGAAATCTTTTTAGTGTCTGTAGACATCAAGTGCATATGTATGACCCTTTTTACAGTAGGTTGTCGTCAATCGATTCACATGGAGATTAAAAAACTGTGGACGGGATTTTCAAGGCATTCGTGAAGCTTAATAATAGCTTACTTTGCAGGATAAGTAAAACTGGTCAAATCTGCCAGAGACAGCTGTCATTTTACTGGTGTATACACACTTGCGGTATTCTTCTGCAACACTGATGTTCTAATTCAGGACTGAGTGATCATGACAACTCAAATTAGTTTTCAACCTAATTTCTTTCCTTTTTTCTGAGCACTAGTCCAAAACCATTTTTTATTGACCACTTTGCTGTGTTTAAGGAAGGAATGGTTGTGATTGCTGTACATCTACGATCTCTGTTAGCTCAGACGTAGTCCCCCGCAGGAGAACAGTATAGAAGAGAAGTGTAAAAGCATATAAGGCAAATGTATAGAGGATGTGAAAAAGGGAGAAAGAGAGAGTGTGACTCATAAATCAAGTAGAGGTGAGATTGCTGAATCAGGGTTGATTGTGCCTGGGAGAGACAATAAAGCCTGTAATCATCTGTCTCTGCTGCACAGACCTGGCAATTATCTGCCCATACCTGACCACCAGAACAGGAAGGGCAAGATCCAGCTACCTTCATCCTATACAACTGCAGATTTTTAAAGGGAAAGTCTTCTCTTGATGCAAACTGTGAGAAAAGCAAACACAACATTTACTCTCAGAGAAGTAAGAATTTCGAAGAATTGGGATTTCGGCGTTGAAGGAGTGTTGAAGGGATTGTCAGTTTTTCCTAAGTCAAAATAAAAAAGAGAGAAGTGAACTCTTTGTCCTCTCTTTCATCTCTCTACATACCCACATATCCATTAACACACAGACACATAAAGTACCTGCCAATATATTACCTCAGATTAAAGAAGAGTAGTCACTCATTGAGCTGGTATAACACTGTCTATAGGGAGGCTGCTTCCAGTGCAGTTCCTTCATCATAACCTTGGCTCTCACACATCTGTCTGATAGTGGCATTTAAATTATGTTCACATGAGATCAACCAAGGAATATAGGAGTATAGTATCTTTACCTTTTTCTTAACTTGCGCAGCCTGAAATTCCTCTGTGTTGTGAAATCTTTTTAGTGTCTGTAGACATCAAGTGCATATGTATGACCCTTTTTACAGTAGGTTGTCGTCAATCGATTCACATGGAGATTAAAAAACTGTGGACGGGATTTTCAAGGCATTCGTGAAGCTTAATAATAGCTTACTTTGCAGGATAAGTAAAACTGGTCAAATCTGCCAGAGACAGCTGTCATTTTACTGGTGTATACACACTTGCGGTATTCTTCTGCAACACTGATGTTCTAATTCAGGACTGAGTGATCATGACAACTCAAATTAGTTTTCAACCTAATTTCTTTCCTTTTTTCTGAGCACTAGTCCAAAACCATTTTTTATTGACCACTTTGCTGTGTTTAAGGAAGGAATGGTTGTGATTGCTGTACATCTACGATCTCTGTTAGCTCAGACGTAGTCCCCCGCAGGAGAACAGTATAGAAGAGAAGTGTAAAAGCATATAAGGCAAATGTATAGAGGATGTGAAAAAGGGAGAAAGAGAGAGTGTGACTCATAAATCAAGTAGAGGTGAGATTGCTGAATCAGGGTTGATTGTGCCTGGGAGAGACAATAAAGCCTGTAATCATCTGTCTCTGCTGCACAGACCTGGCAATTATCTGCCCATACCTGACCACCAGAACAGGAAGGGCAAGATCCAGCTACCTTCATCCTATACAACTGCAGATTTTTAAAGGGAAAGTCTTCTCTTGATGCAAACTGTGAGAAAAGCAAACACAACATTTACTCTCAGAGAAGTAAGAATTTCGAAGAATTGGGATTTCGGCGTTGAAGGAGTGTTGAAGGGATTGTCAGTTTTTCCTAAGTCAAAATAAAAAAGAGAGAAGTGAACTCTTTGTCCTCTCTTTCATCTCTCTACATACCCACATATCCATTAACACACAGACACATAAAGTACCTGCCAATATATTACCTCAGATTAAAGAAGAGTAGTCACTCATTGAGCTGGTATAACACTGTCTATAGGGAGGCTGCTTCCAGTGCAGTTCCTTCATCATAACCTTGGCTCTCACACATCTGTCTGATAGTGGCATTTTAGGCACAAATTTACCTCCATTTCCCTCCAATACATCTGAGCCTGAAACATATGAACCATCACTCTCTGACTGAAAGGCCTAAAAGCATTTTTGCCAACCCAATAACAGCGCCAAATGAATAGTGTAGTTGTAATTAATCTGTTCTATTGACTCAGTAAAAACCTCTTGATGGAACCCAACTACCAAGTGCCTTTTCTGTAATACTGTGTTTTCTCTCCATAATAAGAGAATTTGGGAATAATTACAAAGTTGCTTCCAGTACCATGGATGATCAATGCATTTAATAAACAGAAATTAAAAGGCAAAAAGGCACTCAACAAAATAATATGTCAATTAGTGCTACATCAACAAGGATGTTATAATTCCAGTTGTACAGTGTACAGTACACCGCTCCCATTGCACTGCACTTCTAACATCTCAACACTGTTGAGAGTGTATGAAAACTAGTTAGCAAGAGAGTTTTAATAGTTAGCTAAAAAGTAATGAATCAGACTGACACTGCAGTTGGAAAAATATCCACTTTTATGCAGCATTACTTAACATCCACTTCAGAATATTCTGAAAATGAACAGATTCCAAACATGGCAGATGGGGTCAGGGAAGGTGTACATTATCTGCCTGGGTTGTGGGAATACACGCAGACAAAAAATTTGGCCATCACTAAAATAAATAACTCAAAATAATAAGGACAAAAGCCATCATCAGTCAATTTTCCTTTTGCTTTTGAGCCAGAGGGTAAAAAAAAAGAAACACCCTAAAAGACTATTCTCCCTTGTCATTTTTTGCTGCTGTAGCCCTCAGTCAGTGTCCATATTGCCAGGGGAGCTGCACTACCTGATAAGCGGAGGTAGAGGCTCTCTGACACATCTGTCTGCTTGATGAGCCAAGTGTCAAAGCCCCCCAGAGTGCTGGATGGAGTGCATCAATAAACGACTTTAATCCCCTCCTGGGGCCAATGTCCTCCCACTAATAAGGGATCGTCTTACACCACTGGCAGTAAGGAGAGAGGTAAAAGTGACTTGGCATGGGCCTTAGCACAAGGATGTACTGTACAGGGAATTGTCTGTACACGCCTAACAGGCTGTAAATCACACACGGCTACTGTTGCTTTAATTGCTGGGCTGAATAGCTGCTGTGTTTCCTCCTCCTTTTCATATTCCTTCCCTCGTTTTGCCCTCTGTCACGCTTGTCTCTCCTTAAAGTATATCTGTTTGTCACCAGTTATTCTCGCTCTCTAACACCTCTACTGCTTTTGCATTTCAGGCTCTTTTCCCACCTCCGCTATGTACGGTATCCAAATCTGCTCCAGACAGTCTCACTTGCCAGTCAGAAGAGGAAAAAACAGAGGGATGGAGAGTGTTGGCTTGCCATTGTTGGTTGTGTTGAAGGACGGGTGGGTTGCTAGCATCCGCAGGGAGGATCTAAAAAGTGTTCCAGTCACAGTGACCCTAATTAACCACATATTATCTGCAGGCTGTGTGGAGGATTAAGGCCCTCAGCTCTGGACACTAAAGGTCTACAGACTCAAAGACAGAAGACTGTGCACTAAAGCACACTTCATATTGTGCCTCAAAGCAAGATACAATGAGCGGTGGAGGTGTGAGACAAGACCATAAAAAACAAACAGCACATTGCAGAGATGACAGGTTGCTTGAGGCACATCTGCAGGTCAGGACCTTTGTTAAATGAGCAAATAAACACAGCAAATTCAAGCTGCTATAGTATGTACAGTGCAGAAGGAATATGTAGCCACCCTATTTGTTACCCTCACACTTAAGAAGACTTACTGAGGCTTTGTCGATCATATGAACATGTTCTTCCCTTCTGCCAAGGTGCTGTTTGACCAAACTGAGGTTTCTGTAGGAGGAGGGGATCGCAACTAAAAGAGATAATGAGCTCATTTCTCATTTGACATTAGAAATCCCAGAAATGAACACCATGTTGACAGGTCGTCCTACACACGCTGCTGCATTAAACCAGCTGTCTATTGTCAACTAGGCAATGCAATCTGGGAACGGCACACAAAAAAAACCCCTCATACGAGACAATATGCAGCCCCCACAGGCAGGCAGAGGCTCTGATTTCTGTAGAAAACACTTTAGTAGCAGCTGTGACATATCTAATTTCAGATGAAATACAAGCCAATATCAGCAACATGATTAAATAGAAGATTAACTGACACCAACCAGCCAACAGCTTGAAGAATCCGAAGGTTAGAGCTCATAATAAATGTTATTTCTTCAAGCATAATATTTTATTACAAGTGTTATAAGCTGATGGTGAATATATTTCACATTTACATAACACCAAACTACTGAATAAGGCAGTCTATTGTTAAGACTTCAAGCATTTACATGACTTTCAGAAAGTATTGTAGGGTTAATATATCCTCTGTTAACTTTGGTGTGCAGCTGCTGTTCTGACTCAATGAAACATTTCCTGGGGTTTTACACTATAACTCAAGCTTTACGTCCTGACTCAAGCCCCACACCTACCTCGGTCAGTGTCGTAGAGGTAGACAAACTTCTGCCACTTGTAGTGAGAGAGCAGGCTGAGGACAGCACCCCGCAGGGCAGGTCGCATCTGGATGACAAACTGCACCTCATTATCAGTGGGGTAACTGGGTGTGACAAAGGAGGTGTGCAGAGCGCCACAGAATGAGGTCAAGGTGTTCATGGACTTCTTGTCGTAGAATCCGAAGATGGCGTACACCCCGCGGGAGAACTGGGAGCAAACTGCAGGGACAGCAGACGACACAGGTGTCAAGACAGTAGTGAGCAAAAGACATATACAGTATGCACATTCACAAAGGTGTGACTCACCACTTTAGGAAGCAATAGATCAATAGACCTAAGACATAATGATGTAATACAATGTTTACCGCGGTGCTTTGTGGGTGAAAGGTGGGGACGACATGCTGTAATGCACGCTATCACTACAAGCAGTGACAAGAAACATTAACATTCATTTGCATGAAAACATCATGAGAAAGATCTTGCTGCGTGCCACTGTGTGTATCAAACACAGGACAAATGCCAGAGCTGCATTTTTTTTAAGCTTCCAAGAGACAGCAAGAGGCGACGGAAATGGATAAATTTGATCAGGAATAAGGCCATCAGAACATCAAACCGTTTTTTTAACAATAATTATTCCGTGCTAATGAACGTTAATGTTACTTGTCATTGCTTGTAGAGATAGTGCGCGTTATGTCATCGCCACCTTTCACCCACAATGCACTGCGATATCATTCTTTATGGTCAGACATTTGTCTTCTTATTCTTTCTTCAGATACAATAATGTAGCTCCTAATTTAAATGATAAAAATATGGCCTTTTGTGTTTAGACATTTTACTATTGGGAAGTTTTGCCTATTATAATCAAATGTTTACTATTGTCTGACATTTTATAAACCGAACGATTAGTCAGTTAAAGGGCACTCTATGGATTTCACACATCAATTTCAGTTTACTCATCATTGAAAGGTGCTACCCAGCCTTCGTAATGCCCTCTGGGGCTCTGGATGGAGCTTTCCAAAGTCTGATTAAATTGCCCTAACAATGTCATCAAATTTCAAAATTGTAAGAGAAATTCTGCTTTACAAACTGAAAGTGTGAAGTTTGAAATGAGCATGAAAGGTCTAATGAAAGACATTAAATTGCATTATGGGAAGTGTAGGATGCAGGGATTTTAGAGTTTGATCCACATTTAAGAAACAAAAGTCATGATATCTCAATCGCTGGTGCTTCAATTTTGATCGTTTTTTAAAGAAAAGCTGTCTGTTGTGAGCCCCCTGATTTTATGGAAGTGAAATATCCAAACACTCTTTGTCCCTTTTTAAATGAGAAAATAATCTGCAGAGTAATCAGCTATGAAAATAATTTCTAGTTGTACACTTAAAATAACAAATTGGTCACAGAGTAAACAAGTACACAAGGTATCAGTATTCAGTCTCTGCATCTGGATAACATTTTCACCTTCTTCATGTACCTGAAGAGACATGAACAATATAGATCAGGGGTGGCCAATCCTGATCCTCAAAGGCTGCTGCCCTGCTTGTTTTCCAACTAGCCCTGCCCTACCCATTGCTGATTATCGGGTGTGTTCAGTCAATCAGAAGCTGGAGGATACCAATTCACCTTGTTGTTCCTCACTCCACCTTCATCTAAGATGGTATCCTCCAGCTTCTAATTGACTGAACACACCCAATCCAGGTAATCATCAGTGGGTAAGGACAAGGATAGCTGGAAAACAAGCAGGGCAGTGGCCTTTGAGGACCAGGATTGGCCACCCCTGATATAAACGATACACAATTTAAAAAAGGACAGCATGCACTTCATCAGAAAGTGAGCCGGATCTGGTGATAGTCTGGCTCGGATTGTGATAAGATGTCAGCAAGTGTTACAGAGTGTATGTATGTTGGTAGAAAAGCGGCAGCTGAAGGATAGAACCGTCACAATATTCACCAAAGGTTTCCAGCTCCCACCAGGAGTTCCCATCAGTTACTCTTCACTTCCCTCATCCACTGTGAACGACTCACTGCAGCCTTCACAGCAGCTGTAAGTACTATTGCTGCCTGTTACTGACCACAAAGAAGCTGAAAAAGGCAACTCCTTCTGCCTCAAGTGAGCACAGTTTCACTTTCACTGACCTTTATGTAGGTATATTTACACTGTTTCTGTTGACACCACAGTGTCAGTTATAAATATAAGCTCTTTTGATTTATATTTTGATAAACTACTGATCACAACAGAATGCAAAATAGTTAAAGTATACCAATATATGTCACATCTTAATACATGACTGACCCAGAAGACTTTTTTGACTTGCTGCACAAAACTGAGACACTATGTACTGAAAGTAGTATCTGAGACGACCAAAGGTAACAGCAACCAAGCAGTCACACAATCATTTGAATATTTTTTTACTGTAACAAATCTATAACAACCACTTTGGGGATTAACCTCTCAGTAAGGCAAATTGTTCCCTTTTTTGTTAGTATGTACATCTGATGACATTTCTTGAGAGGCAAAAGTACGTTTATATTTGTTTGTGAATTCATTATGCACTCTAGTGGGACAGTGTAAATTGTCAGGCAGAAGCCATTAATGTTCAAACTAATATTCAGAGCTACAGGTGTGTTTTGCTTTCCTACCCTATTATAAATGGCTGTTCACTTATTCTGATTGACTCTTTGAGTGTTCCAGCTGGGTAATCAAGCATTCTTAACATCCGTAAACACTTTGAATATTCCAGTACAACGGGTTGGGTGGCAGGAGGGAATCATATGCAATAGCAAAGTTAAATATTTGTTTCTGACTCGCTGATATTCATTCAGTCATATGGTGGGAAACATTAGACAGAGATTGGGCGCTTATTTAAATACTGCTCTTAGCATTCTCTGAACTGGAAATAATTCATCACAATCATGACAGCCTGTATTTTGTGATTCCATCCTATTCCAGCACAAGATGCAATCTCATACATGCATGCACACACACTAATCGTGCTTTTTTTCTTTCTGCCTGTGAGAATTTGTCTGTCTTTGTGAAGAACGCTGCTGCAGTATGTGCAACCCTTTCTGATGCTCAGAGGACAACATGACAGAGCTCACGTATTCGGTTCTTAAGCACAATTGCTGTGTGAATGAGAGAGCTAGTCACTGGTGGGATTTGCCTCATCCTTTAAAATTCTGCTCCCTCCCTATCTGTCCTGGTACAGACACCTCTCCCCAGGTATAAGCATCCATTCTCAACACACACACACACACACACACACACACACACACACACACACACACACACACACACACACACACACACACATAGGCATGGATGGATGCAGGCATACAAGCACGCACACACACGTACCTCAGCTTCTTGATAAGTGAATCAACACATGGACAGCAGTATTGTGGGAAAGTGCTGCACGGTGAGGGGTGCAATCTCTCACTGAATGAGAGCCAGCAGGAGTTCCAGCCTTCGTCAAGGCCCAGTTTCCTCTATACTCCCTCTTAATTTGGGCCAGCACTGACACAGAACCTGTTTTAGGGCAAGAGATCTGGCAGCATCTGCCTCTCTGCTCAGCTGTCCTCTGGTTTTTAGGTTGAGCTTTGCGCACTCTCTTACTTAAATATCAGCTATATCCATACACACACACACACCCTCTTGCTTCCTTGCTCTCATCTTGCTCTTGTTAGTGATCTCTTTCTCCCTTGCTCTCATCTTGCTCTTGTTAGTGACACACTGCCTTTGTGTTGAAACCTTTTTAGGCTCGCCACCTTATTGTGGTGAAGACGTTTGCATGTTGCAGTGATCCCACTAGCTCTGTGTAGGTTCTTCCATGATGATGAGGGTTATAAGGATGTTCTAGACAAAGACTGCCCTGTTCTGGTTTGGGGTGAGTGCATCAGCCACCAGCCAGCATTCTGCATCTCTGCCCCTCAGTCACAAGTCACCCTGAACCCCTGTCTTCACAATTCTCCACCTGCCTCATTTTGTTGACTCTGCCCTTATGAACATCTTTTGTGACAAGATATACTGTGTACGGCATTCACAGTCACATTCAAGTATTACTATAAACAACAGTTATTGTAATTTAAACAATGTTGTTCATTTTTCTCATTCTTAATCACTAAGGGTCCCATTTCCATGGTCAGACACTAACAAGCTACACCACATGTGGGGATTTGTAAATTCTTAAGGTTTATATACTGTTGCCTGGAGGTGGTAGTAAATCTGAGTTCAGGGAACCTTCAGGTGGAGCTACACTGGCAGCGCTGTTGATCGTGATTGATTAAGCAAATGTGTTACCACATCAGTATAAATGATGTATTGTTATTACAAGTGTAGCAGGCAGCTACAGTACAACCATCACTTTAACAAATTGCTGGGAGAAAAATAGTGGAAAACCATGTGGAGGAAAAATAAAGACATTTTTGGTTGTTATCACCAACGGCAGGGATCATCTGTGAGGAATGAGCAAGTGTTTTTTTTTAAATACTTCTTACCACACTGTAACTTTCAAATTAATCTCCAGTTTTGTTGGTAACTGCTTCAGTTTGCTAACGCGCTAAATTGTTGTGCATGTATAGTACATTTCTTAACCTTTCAAAATTTAATAAACTCTAATTGTTTCAGTCAAGAGTGAATAACAAGCCAGCAGAACTAATCAGAGCAACGCAAATACACAGGCGAGTTTAACAAAAAAGCAATCAGTATAAACATATTGACCAAGTCAGACTGTGCAATTTAAAGTTTCGTATTTAAAAGTTTCAGTATTTACAGCATAATCGCTTAAACAAAACAACAATGCTTACAGTTTAATTAATCGCTTAAACAAAACAAAACAACAATGCTTACAGTTTAAACACAGGACTGACTGCACCTTAGTTCTTAAGCTATATACTGTATATTGATGTTCATACTGCTTGTGATTCTGAAGATCCAAACTCAAATCTGATTGTTTTGGTAAAGGTTCACACAAGGAAAGTTATGGATTAAGAGTCATCTTCTGTATGTATTCCGTCACTCACTTTCTTCCAGAGATGTCACTCCATGCAGTACTGATCGCCTCCTCCTTCGACACCTCCCTCCACTCTCCTCTCTTTTCACCACTCTTATTTGACCTTTCCTTTTGTTGCCTGTCTTTTACCTCAGCCATATGGTCATCCCCCACAGCATACATCCTCTTCAAGCGTGGCAGTTTCTCTCTCCACTTGAGTGCCTCTTTCTTTTCC